TCTCGACATCAAACAAGTCTGGTGGCCGTCTTCCTGTAGCTATCTCCAAAGGAGAATAGCCTGAGACGGTAAGCTGGCAATTTCTTGCCCAAGCCACCTTCTTGACTGCTTGACGAACAGTCACCTTCTCTGCATAACCCTCATCAGCTAAGGCCTTGGCCATGATTGCCCAGGTGCGCTTGAAAAGACGCACTGCGGTCTCAGCTCGATTAGGCCAAGGAGTCCGTGGTCCACATGGATACGGAGTAATGCCATGGAACTTGTAGTAAGACATGAACTGCGGCGTGAAAAATGCTTGATCTCCTACGATTCCCTTAGGAACGCAGTTGTTCTCCTCTGTCCATTGTCTAAAAGCTCCCAGAGTCTCTGGCGCTTCCAGGCTTGTGAGAGCCGTAGCCCACAGGAGATTTGAAGCACCATCAATGATGACCAAAGCCAAGTAGGCTTTAGTACCGAACTTGATTTCTTCGTGATCAACAAAAATGAGATCACCGAAGGATGATGCTCTTAACCCTGCGATTCTGGCTCGCGGAGGCGTAGGCACCGAGGTGCTGCAAACACGACAGCCTTTGACAATGCGGTCGTACTTGTCATAGATCTCTCCTGGCAGACCAAGCATGCTGGTCCTGCGTCGAAACTGAGCAGGACTCATGTGGTAATGCTTCACATGCAACTTGTAAAGCTCAACATCATTGTTCAGCTTTTCCAACATGCGCTGATACTGCGGAGAAGCCCTTGAGACCTCGTGGCCTGGCAACGGAAGCGCGATCCTCCTAGGTTCTAGCGACTGTGGCTCTGGGGCCTTCGGAGGACTCGGAGGAAGCAAATCTGCATCCCCCGGTTCGGAAGGTTCGTACTCTTGAAGATCCGGATCATCCTCAGGAGCAAGAGGAGGAGGAGCCGGTTCCTCGGGTGCCTTTCCCTGTGGAAAGCTTCCCTTGGCTCGAATCCTTCTCTTTGCCGGTGCCTTTCCCTGCGGAAAGCTTCCGGATGCTCCTGTGTTCTTCGAGCTGTCTTCAGGCTTACCTGCGCTAACCATGTCCTCTGGAGATCCTACCTTTCCACGGGTTGGATCCTTGGACTTAGCTGGCACCGAGGTTCTACTCTCGATGCCACCAGGCAGAATCTTGAAAATGGTCTTGCCTTTCCAAGAGTCAGTAGTTCTTGTTGAAGAAAGCTCAGAAGAACGCCAGTCATCTTCTTGAGTAACGCTCTTTCCCTTGGAGAACTCCATGATCGTCTTGCGCTTGGTGTCCAGATACTCCAACGGAATTGGCACATAACCCGCCTTGGGTTCGTACTTGACTCTTCTCATCTTCTTGTGGATGCGAATCATTTCCATGTCGGCTTCGTTGATCACCCATTCATCATCAGTCGCCAACACGAGATTGTCAGGTACCTGTTCATGAGAACAGCATCCCTCGGTCTTCTGATGGAAGCCGTACTCGTAGTGGGAGAAGTAGGTGAGGAAGCTCGACTTCTTATGCTTGCTGAAACGCACATTCCACATCAGCTGACTGAGTTCAAGAAGATCAAGTACCAAGTGTGAGCTGGGTGCAACCTTCAGCCTCACATCCTTGATTCCCAGCACAGGGCTGCTGAGCAAGGCCTTTTCCGGATGGAGCTCGAACTGGAAACGAAGATTGCGCATCTGAGGTAAGGACATGAGAATGGGAACATGCCCTTGTTCCACAATGTCGAACTCTGTGGATTGAACTGCAAAGTCCCGGTCGTACATGCAAATGACCAACTTCTGGTTGCATTTGGTAGACTCGGAATTGGCAAAGGTGAACTGAGAAGTGGTCTCAGCAATGGTGTACCATATGCCACAGTTCTGGTTCTTGTCACAGAACTCCATGAGGTCCTGTGCGGCCACTCTCGAAGCCATTGCTCTCGTGCATCCCAGGTCCAACACCATCGCGGTCGGCGTCAAGGGCTGAGAGATGAAGGCTTCCTCGATCTCATTGATCTTCTCTTCGGTGGCCATGAAAGAAAAGTTCGGAGTGTTGAGATGTTCAACGAAGAAGGTTGTGGCGGCTGTGGTGCCGCTCGGGGCAGCATCAGCAAGCTGGCTCTGTCCGTCTTTTCCGGACTTTCCATCTTTTCCATCCTTGCCAAACTTGCTCTTTCCTTTGCCCTTCTTTCCTTTCTTTCCTTTTCCTTTGGCTGCATAGGATTCCTCAGACTCGTACCAGGACCAGTCATCCCAGGACTGATCGTTCCACTGGTAATCTTGCCATTGTCCTTCTGCTTGCCATGCTTCTGATTCTTCGGCAAGATGTGACCTGCCTTTTTTCCTTTTGAAGAAGCGCCTTCCTTTGGATCCCTTGCCACCTTTTCCTTTACCTTTGCGGTGGCCTTTAAATCCGCGCCTCATCTTGCGGCCTTGGAAACGCCGCTGGAACCATGAGTAGTTCTCGTCGTCGTAGACCCAGAAGGCGTCCTCATCCGCTTTGAGGAAACCCTCTGTGCCATCTTCCTCGTCCTCGACCCAGTAGCCTTCATGATCGTTCAAATATCCTTCATCGATCACAACGAACGTCTTGCTGCCACCGTGGCCGGAAGGAGCGAGGAGAGGATTGTCGACGGTAGTCTTGGTCGTGCAGAAGATCTCAAGGCAGACCTCACGCAGTTCGGTCGTATTGTAGTCAGCTAAAGCTCGGTTCCGATGCGCCATCAATGATGTCAACACCTGCCGCTGATCCTGCGTCAAGTCGGACAGAGAGACAAAAATCAAAGCAACGAGATTGGCCGTGATCGGAATGGTCCGAGCATGCTGCTCTCTGAGCCGTTCGTTGGCTCTCTCCATTGCCTGAACTGGCGTGATTCCTTCTTGTTCTTCTGGTGGAAGTCCTGCTATGAAAGCTCTGACCTCTGCATTGTTCGGGTCCTCGATCGGCAGATAGGTGTCGTTCCACGCTTCTTGCATTCTCTGAACAGAGAGTTGAAACCTGGTAATCCAACGAAGCATGTCTCCATTCCCACGGTGCATGTTCATGAACTGCTGGAAGCGATAGAGAAAACATTCGCTGCTCCCTTCACGAAAAGCGGCCGCAGGAAACTCTTGAAGTACTTCACTCCGTTGTTCGGGTCCTTCAGGCGATCTCTGTCGAGAAGCCTCTTGTGGATTGCTGCTTCACCTTCTAGCCGATTTCTCAAAGCTGGTCCACGCTTATCATTGTCTAGCTCAGTAATGTCACACCAGTCATCGATCGCATCTTCATAGGCAAACCAACTGCTTCTACCATCATAAGATGGAGGTACTTTGGTGGTCACCTGCTGGAAAGCTGAAAGACGGTGTAATTCATTGAGATGACGATGATTAGTCGCGAAAGATTCATTTCCGTGGAGGAGGTAGTCTTCATCTCCTCCTTCATGCTCAAAGATAGTCGCAGAGTGGCTAGCCATTGCGCTGTTCTTGGATCGAGCCCCGGGAGAAACCTCTTCCGGTTATCTTCACCTGAGTGAAGTGTGCCGGAGAGACTCCGGTCACCTTCACCTGAGTGAAGCACACCGGGTATTCCGGTTGCCTCCACCTGTGTAGAGAGTACCGAACGGGTACCTCCACAAGTGTGAAGCTTCCCGTTTCCCGGGAGCTCCGCTACCACGTTGAGATGTAACCTGGACGTGTATCCCCTCGCTAGGCGTACAGGAACACAGGCACTCAGGTGTCTCTTTTCTTACAGGCGCACAGCTGTAGTCCACTGCACTAGAACCTTGAGCAACAGGCATGGATACATGCAAGTGATACGTTAAACAGACAGGCACCTGGATGTGTAACATTCAGTGTTTCACCCCCCCCCTCCCCTCCCCCCGTAAAGGACAGCTGTTTTGGCCTTCAAACCCTGTCTGCTACCAAAACTGGCGTCCTTTGCCCCCCCCCCCCTCCCCCCCAAAGGACAGCTGTTTTGGCCTTCAAGCCCTGTGTGCTACCAAGACTGGCGTCCTTTGCTTAAACCAGAAACCCACCCGCCTCCAGAGCAGCGGCCAGAGCCCGAAGCGGCTCTCTAAGAGGAGCAGCAGGCCAGAGCCAAAACACTGGCAGTTAGTCGGACATGTGTTTGCCAATGTTGTTGATGTTTTTTAGTTGTTGTTGAATTTTTGTCATTGTTGTGTCTTGGTCAGACCCTTTGCCTAAAGTCTCTTTTGTAGTTCCTTTTTGGGGTTACCTGATAGAATCCTAATTATCAAATTGGTTAAACCAAAAAAGGAGGTGCAATGGAGACTGTAGGTGATTAATTATGCAAAGAGCCCGCTTCGTAGCGCGATCGTGGGCTTTCCAAGAGCCTTTTTTGGGTGGCCTTTAGAATCTTTAGAAGAATGAGCCTCCTAAGGCAAACAGAACCCAAAATTCCTAGCATCTCAGGGAAGGCCTTTCGAAGGCCTACTAAGGCCAACAAAACCGAAAATATCCCAAACCCCAAACCCAAGCCCGGCCTTCCACGGCTTTCTTTCGCTTGTCTTGAAGAGCTCGTCGGCCCAGCGTGCTTTGGATTAGGGTGGGAGGCTTTCTGTCTGGAACCCTGCGAACCGCGAACCGAACAGTTCAGAACCTTCCGTCAAAACCGAACCGCCGAACCGCGCCGCAAAAAAAAAAACCGTAACCGAACCGAACCGTTTGCTTGCTGCTATGAGGAGATCTAACACAATTGCAGCCTCCGCGACAACGCCCGCCATGATCAGTGCCATTTCGACATCATCTTCGTTGATGACAATTTGTGCAATGCCCTCCTTTATGGAAACACCCTCTACCCCAACACCCCTAGTGACGACGTCACATACAACACCGTTCTGCGTCAGCACATCTTCAATGACGACACCGTCTCTGACATTGCCTTCCGCAACTACATCATCCTGTACGACCGCACCGTCTACGTCGATATCCTGGTGGATCATCGTCTACGAGTATGCCAGCATCTCACATGCCACATCCTATATGCGTGATGGTCCATCCTGACAAGTGCTCCATCCATTGTATGGCGACAAGCCCGGCCGCAGCTTCATTGTTTTGAACCGTTGCGAATCCCACAGTTGACATGGCCTATGCACACAGATGATGCACAGACACCTGCCGAGAAACATACAGAGAAGCTTAGCATGGCCTGTGCACGATGCATATGGCTCAAGTCCGATACGATAACGCAAGAAAATAACTGCCGGTGACTTCTGGTTTCATAATGTTTCATACTAAGACTAAGCTGAACCCTGTGTTGTTCGAGTAATCCTGGATATAAGGACAAAAGAAGACCGCTTATTGAGTCAGTCCTCTTTGCGACCGGCTGACCTTGCAGAGAGGAGATCTGGTGCTGCACCTGGTGCCATAACTGCGAGATATTGCGAGCTGTGCCGGCTTCATCAAGCGCTTCTTTTCACAGCTCGGGCGAAACCCCGTTCGATTCACACAGTCCGAGGAAGGGCTTTCTGAAAGTCCAATGCTGGCACCTCTATCCCCTCGATGGCATCGCGGATCATGCTCTGAGCTCGGGCCGTCTGCTCGACGTTACCATGCGACCTTGGCGTGCCCAAGTACGGCCGGCGGATTCTTGCTCTGCCTCAGACCGTGGGCGCATGAGAGCCCAAGATGAGCTGTAGGCCATGCCGTGGCCGTGAAGACGAACCAGATCTTGGCACAGCGCGGACGAGAGAATGAGAGAGAGAGAGAGAGAGAATGAGAGAGAATGAGAGGGAGAGAAAATGAGAGAGAGAGAGAGAGCCAGAGAGATAAGGTAGATCACAGTCCACTGCCGGAGGATTGCCTGTAGTGTCGGGGGTTCTGATTACGTGGGCTCAGTGGCAACCTCGGAGCCGGGCACAAACGGTCAAAGGCAAAGTGCCACAGAAGCGGACACGGGCCTTGGAACATCTTGGCGCTGCTTTGAAGCGGAGCCGAAACAGTATAGCGGGTTACTATAAGGTTGTTGAGGATCCCAATGAGGACTTCTATACGGTTTGTCTGACGGCAATAGAGCAATAGAGGGTTCACTTGAAGGCTTGCTATGAGGGGCTGACAGGCTTCTTCCAGACGCGCTGTGGGGATGCCGGATGGCCAAGTCCCTGTAAGGCGCCCAAAGAGCTAAGGTAGCATTTGCCCTTTTCGTAACCCTTATGGTGATGAATGCCCCAAGAAAACCCTCAAGTGTCTCGCCCTCACATTAACCGTTATAATGGCCCTTAACAGACCCATAATGAACGGCCTTGTAGTCACCTTTATAAGAATCCATGGCCTTGAAGAAGCAGCCCATGGCCTGCAGATCCTTGGGACCACACCCGCTCAGAGATCAAAAAGTCCTGCACCTGGAGATCGGGGGAAAAAGCAAACAGAAAGGTTACTATGCATGAGAATACGGTTTGTACGGGTTACCATAAGGATTACCATGGGGTTCGTTGCAAGAGTTCAGAACAGGGTCACTATTTTTCACGGAGCGAAACGGTGGAACAGACGTGAAGCTGCCATGCCCGGTGCCGTTCTATAGAAGCCCTCCCAGCAGCGAGTTTCACGACTTCCTGAGGCTCACACCTGCTGGCGGGTCAGAACCTTGTGCCGAAAAGACAAGCCCTTTCGCGCAGATCCTCATGTGGACACTCCACATCTCTCAGGGTTGCCCGCCTCTTCCTCCACCTTTTTCTGCGCATTAACCTGAGATGCGACGCAAGCATCTCGTGTGGCCTTGACACGTAGATGTACGTGTGTGTGTGTGTATGCATGCATGCATGCATGCATGCATGTATGTATATATGTATGTATGTATGTATGTATGTATGTATGTGTGTGTATATGTGTATCTCTGTATAAATATACATATATATATATATATATCTAATTATGTATATATGTATTTTTGTACATATGTTCTTATGTATATATGTATATATGTACATATGTATATATGTACACATGTATATATGTACATATATATATATAGTTGTATATCTATACACGCTTATTGCCTGTGATTGGCTGTCGGACAGGGGCCCAGACGGCACTGGACATCTGCCGCTCTTTCAGATCTACGACGGGGTCATCCTTGGCAAAGGGCACTGCTCCTTTGCCAAGGCCGGAGAATGGATTCCGAGCTCTGCCTGCAGCACAGCCTGTGCCATGTCCAGCCGACGGACCTGCGTTCTGCAAAGCATTGCCCAGCTCTAGCAGCCAAGGGTAAGGGTAGCAAAACCCAGTGCGGACCAGCACCTTGTGCGATAAAAGCAACCCAATCTTTCAAGGCAGAAGCTTACCCTTTGCACCTCAGCCGACCATCCCGGCCATGGAAACGCGGGCACTTCCCTAATTCAAGGACCCGGCTTCTGAACAAATCCTGCTTCAGGCTTCGGCAGCTCGTTGGCTACGGCTACGGTGTGCGCTGGCTCCTCTTGTCAGCTTTTTACCAGCTTACAAGGCCCTACATGAAACCATGACGCCAATCTGTAGACTCCCTTTGGGCCAAACTGGCGCGGCAGTGGAACATCTTTCCATTCCTCGGATATGGCTTCGGAATCGTCCTCCACGAACTTGGGTCCACATGCCCCCCAGCCTCCATGCATGCGCGCCCGCAACGCCTATAGTGTCCACAATCATAGGGCACAGGCCATCATGACACAGTCGACGTTTTCCAGACTGCGCTTTGGCATCTCTTCGACTTCAGAGCTCCGTACTTGGCATCACATCGGCGCAGGTTTGGCATCACTGCCAGTCGGATCTGGCACAGCGGGATTGTCGAGAGAGGGATGAATCGTGAAGCCTGGCTTCGGGTCTGAGACCAAGCTTCAGATATCTAAGTGCTGGATCTTGCGTAAGGATCTTGAAACGCCTCTTTATATCAAGAGAGATACCTTGAAACTTCTTCACCCGCAAAACCGGGCCTTGCTCTCCGACAATGTGAGACAAAGCCGAAAGGAGCCAGGGCCATACCTGGAAACTTCCCCTAATACTACATGCAGGTGAACCAAAGAAGCCAGAATACTAGGCGTAGCAGATCTGTTGAACATGTGAAGCATGCTTTACAGATCCAGTCTAGTCATGAATCTTACAACCTACGACACCGTGGGAAAAAAGTGGAACCGGACCCGGCTTGGGGTTTCTCAACGGAAGGGGGATGGGGTTTCGTATCAAAGCCCGTTCCTCAAAGCTCAAGACTTGATCTTCCCATGCACGCAAGAAGCCCTCTTTGAGCAGGGGCCGCGGTGCACATGTTCGGGGGTTCGTGTATGCCCAAAATCCTAAATCCTAAGCCTGAACCCAAAGGCCTAAACCATGCAGTACTAAGGGTAGTACCCTTGTGGGCCTCTCAGGGTCGTCGGCCTCGACCACGTCCTGTCGGTTTCACAGCGCTCACATGGTTGCAGATGATCTGGTGCCCTTGGCTTTGGGGTGTTTCTGGCTTTAAGGTTCGGGGCTTTACGGTCTCGCGTGCTTTTGGCTCAAGGTTTAGGAATTCAAGGTATTGAGACAGATCGTGGCTAAATGCGGCTAAAGGCTGGACCATGAATTCCAACAAGAAGCCCCTGCCTCCACCACCGCCTCCGCGGCCTCCGCCGCCGTAATTTTGTCGTCCTCGGCCACCCCCACCTGCACAGGTCTGTGTATGTCGGCCAATATCGTTTATGATTTGAACTCGATTGATGCAGCACCTGCTGGGGCAAGACGGTCAGGGCTGTGTCCGTCAGTCGCGAACCTGCCTCCGCCACCACGGCCTCTGCCGCCACCGCCTCCGCCGTAGCCGCCGCCACCGCCAGGCCCTCCACCACCGTAGCCGCGCTCGAACTGATCCAGGACAGAAAAAACGAAGAGTCGGAGCGAGGCTCGCACAGCAACGGTTGAAAGTGTGCCTGCTCCTTCAGCATCATCTCTTCCTCTTCATCTAGGAAGTCGTCGTCAAACTCATCTTCCATGCCGCCCTGGCTGCTGGGGGTAGGTCTCAGGCTTTTGCCATAGCGCTTCAAGCCTTTTTCTACGACCATGTGGTCTTTGCGGTTCGACTCCTGAAAACTGATGCTGATGCTACTGATGCTACTGAATCCAGGATGCAGGGAACACCCCTTAGAATCCCACCATCCTCTGAACATGGTTTTGCAGCGTCTAATTTTGTTTGGCCCGTAGAGCCCTGAACTAAACCCCAGCTCGGGTCTGAACCCTAGGTTGGGGTTCGATTTTGTATGAGCGCAGTCCAGATCGCCTGGAGTGCTGACACTAAGGACATTAGTGCGAGTGCATATGTTATGGCTGAGATCCCTGGTTTGGTCCTTCGCTCGTCGACGGACATCTGGACCTTTGCCTTGCCTGCTTCTCTGCAGGAGCGCCCCCAACAATGCTTTAATATCGTTAAGTGCGAAACAGTTTAAGCTTCTGGAACCCTGTAACCCTTTACATCCGAAAGCCCCTTGCAGCATTAAGGACTTGTTTTAGATTTCGTTATCTACCCATCCTCTCAACCTCTTCTTGCTTCCCAGACCGCATGTGGTGGTGGCGAATTGGACCTAGGGGTCCAGGTATTTTGGTGTTGTTTTTACGGTTTTATTCGGGTACTTTGTATGGTTTTCTGTGCCTGGATTGTAGAAAACCCTGCCAGGGTCACGCGGAGGGGCCTGATTTTGGATTTTTTTGGTATTTTTTAAGTTTTTCTGGGCCTGGATTGTCGAGAACTTGCACCGTGTATGATGGATCTGGAACACTCGAAACTCTCAAGCAGAAACATGTGATTGACGCAATTCTTTCTTGAAGAAGAGCTATGTGATTGACGGAATTCTTTTTGACGGCAAGCCATGCACGGCATAAAAAGAAAGTGGGCGGTTGGGGTTGCAAACCCAATCTAGGTATGCATCACGTTCATATGGACTCTGTTTTAGCTTGCGTGGCCCAAACATAAAGCGATGGGGGTTGGGCCCCTGGGACGGGATTTGACAATTCTCAGAGTAGTTATGCGCTTTGACTTGCTGCGACCATCGCAAATGACCCAATAGCGTTGTTGATGGTACGAAGTTCGCTAAAAAAAAACAGGGCTTGAGAAAGCTGGGGGGAGGTCTGGGGGCGGCGCAATCCCCCCCCATTTGCAAACGCACTTGCGAGAGGACCGGCGGTTCATCACATCTTAAGCAAGCGCCCTCATTTGTCGATTCCGGTTCACCATAGATTATGCAAAAATCTTGGACAAACCCCTTTCCGGTTCACCATATATCTTTAATGCGGCCCCTCAGTCGGCGATGACCGTTCACCATATATCTTAAACACAGCCCCTCTTTTGGTGATAACGGCTCATCATATCTTCAACACGCCCCCTCATTCGGCGATTCCGGATCACCAGATATCTTTAACATGCGCCCGCGTTCGGCGATTACCGTTCACCAAATATCTTTAACACGCCCCCTCTTTTGGCGGTTCCGTTTCAACATATGTCTTTAACACGCCCCCTCTTTGGTGATAACGGCTCATCATCTATCTTACACACGCCCCCTCATTCGGCGGTTCCGGTTCATCATATATCTCAAACGCGCCCCCTCCTTTGGCGATTCCGAGTCTCCGGTACCCCATGCTCACTGGTTGCAGGTGCAACGCCAGATCAACAGCCCGACTGACTAGGGGATTGACGGACTGACAGACTGATTGACAGACAGCCAGACTGATTGACGGCTCGGTTGGCAGACGGACTGACTGGCTGACCGACTCACCGCTGGACGACCGACTGGCTGACTGACTGACTGACTGACCGCGCGGTTGGCTGACGGACTGACTGGCTGACTGACTGACTGGCCGGCTGACTGACTGACTAACTGACCGCGCGGTTGGCTGACCGACTGACTGACTGACTGACTGACTGCCTAGCTGGCTGGCTGGCTGACTGACTGACTGACTGACTCGCGTACCGACCGAACCGAAAACCATAAAATGCATAAAAAAAACATAAAAAATACCAAAAAAGAACCCCCAACCCGAATTGGACACAAGCGGTTCTTTTGATAAAAATCCCACCTGGCCGCTGAAGATGGCGACAAACTGCTCTCGCTCCAGGCCTCGGCATAGCAGCAGATTTGCGCGCTTTGTGCCCTTTGTGCCACTAGGGGACAGAAGCTTGCGTTTATCTGGCTATAACTTCATATCTATGCAGTTATCTTTTGGTGTGTGTGTGTGTGTATGTAAACATATACACACCAAAACACGTCATATGCTTACATATGTGCATGTGGGGGTGCATCTGTCCCTGCATATATGTACATGTGCCTACTGGTGCACATATACTTAAAGATCATATGTGTTGCTGTCCATATTTGCTCCCCGAACAGCGCGGAAAGACTGTGGGAGCAGAGGGACTCTCACACGCGTCACTTGTAGGTTTTTCCGAAGTAGAATCTTGTAGAGTTTGAGCGTATCCAGACGGCAGGGAGCTTGAACGATTGAAAACCTTGGGGAATCAAATGCTGTAAGTTCGACACTCTGACAGCTCAGAGGTTGGAAACATGTTTGGGTGAGGGATTTGAACTTGAAACCCGGAAGCTCGAGTTTGAAAGTCAGAAAACCTATGATTGAAAGTTTTATAGTCCGAATTTTCGGCAGGGTAAAGTTGTTGCCCGATTCGACGGCTCAAAGCTGGAAAGTTTGGATTCGTCAAACCACCAAACTCAGAAAATGCAAAAAGGCACGGTGCTAGAGCTCGAACACTTCTTCATAAGTTTCAGGGTTTGGGAGTTTGAAGCACGACGTGTGTGAAAGATGAGAAAATGCTAAAAGATTGTGAGTTGGAAAGCTCGCAACTTGTACTATCTAGCGTTTAGGGTCTACTTCTTGCGGAGTCCGGGGTGCCAGAAGCTAAACTGACCTAAACCTCAACAACATCCGTCTTGAATCGTGGGTATATCCGCTATACACCTTACGTAATTCTAGTGACGGTACAAGTTTCAGATATTTCGTTTGGACCATCTTCCGTCGTATAGTGAGGGGGCGAGTTTAAGAAATGCTGGGATCAGCCGCCGCCGCCATCGCCTAATGGGAGGCCGGGTTTAAGATATGAATAGATATGATATCAACCGTACTCGCCTAATGAGGGGTGGGGAGGGGTTGAAAAATGAAATCGACTGCCGCCTACTGAGGGGGCGAGCTCAAGATCTGGGATCAA